ATCTTTCGCGAGACCACCGGGACTGATACAGCTGCCCAGGTAGACAAATTTGTCGACTACCTCAATCGGTTCATCCGCAAGCATGAGGCTAGGGTTCGAGCCCACCCAGTCTTGCATGCAGTAGCACTTTACACTTTGCAGGTGTGAAGCGCATGCCGAACAGCGAGGCAGAATTATTTAGATTATTCAATATTGTCCAACAATTCATCAATGATTCCTGGTGACAGTTGTCATCAATCAAACCACGAAGTATTGATTATCCTACACCATCCGTTCAACTTCACATTCTGGTAACTGTGTGCAACTAATGGCACAGTGATCACTGCCTCAAGTGTACATCGACCAATTGATGATTTTACGCGAACCGTTGTGAAAATTAGATGGATTAAAGCAGGCGACTGACGCGGAAGTCGAAGAACTAGGTCACCAGACGCATAAACAAGTTTGAAACATTCATGTTCACATCAAACAGGGGAAGCAGTGGACCCGAGTTTCGCTCTTATTAGAGCTCCCCCTTGGACTTGCGGAGGTTTCAACTCCGGACATCTGACATAAGAGGTTACCACTAACCCACGAGCGCATCCTGGACGCAACTGAATTGACGCGCGTTAACAGGAGAACGTGTTCGCGCTTGAGCGATGGTTTCCCGTCGACTGGCTTGGTTGCGTCGATCGAATGACCAACCTATCAGGACTTCCCAGTCAGGTAGCGCCATGAACGATTAAAACTTGCTGCTGATACGTGCGTACTACAAATGCCGCAACCGTTTCCAACTAAAATTCGCACCGTTTCTGATTCCACCCCGAGTTCGGATCCATCACAGGCCCTTTCCTTTCTCAAAAATATAGTTTCAAACGCAGAATCTTCCGTATTCGCGGGTGAAAAGAAAGGGTGTAAGCAAAGAGAGCAGAGCACTAAACTCCCAATCTGAGTCAAAACAATTTGCCGCACAGTTTTTCTTGCTCTGCTTTTAAAAAGAATACTTTACCTAATTTCGTCATCTCCAGGCATGAATTCCCTGGCGCCGACAGTGGTTTGCGCATGTTGTGTGTTGAACGAGTCTTTGTACGAAGTTCACTTGGGGAAATCATCGATTTGCTGTACAACAGCAAGGTACGTCACTCGTGGCTGAAAGGTCAAATGTCCGAGGTCGAGACTACCCGGGGTTTCGCGAACACTGATCTCTCCAAATAAGGACTAAACAACTGCTTTTGGACTTTTCAAAGTACGTGGGTCTCCCTTGCATAGTGGAATCTCCATTTTCAGAAACACCATTCAGAGGCACTCAAACTCCTTGCTATGGGTTATTCTTGGCTGGAACCCAGATAAATCTCTCGTTTATGATGTTTTTAAAGCAACTGAATGTGCAGTACCAGGCTGGCTCATGTTTCAGCTGGTAGGATATTCGAGATACCGCGATACGTAATACACTACTCATAGGGTTGCTGAAAACTCTCCGACAGCCCATGCCCGATTTCGCCTTTCTTGGCACTCATCAGGTGGGTGCGCAGTCCCGAGTTCCCGTCAATCTTATCTTCTGCTGACCCTGGAGGGTCTATGCGGTACCTTTTCAGGTTCAATACTCACCAGATGCTATATTCCTTCATTCTCCCGAAATTAAGTCGAGTTAAACTGATAAAATAATATGACCTGGACGGAAAAATATCGGTCAACAATCAATCTTCATCGTTTCCCAACATGGACTTATCAAGGTGCGAGGTATTGACCATTAGGTCCGTGGTTTTAACCCACCCTTCCTCATGGTAACTGTCACGAAGAGAACGGACCTCATCGCGGTGTGACGGTTTGCACCTTTCACCTGGCAGAGGGATATGAAAGAAATCACGAAACTTCTGGGTGCTGTCGGTGCTACTCGCCCTCCAGGATGGGGACCGCGTGATCCTCGCTGCGTCTGATTGGAGACCTGACAGTATTTCAGCACTGTGCTTCCTTCAAGTTACACTGTAGCTATGCACTGAAAGGACACTACGGTCGAGCTTTTTAACTAAACCATTTACAGCTCCGTGTCTAACTACCCCGGCAAACGGACCCATGTTCAGAGGGAGCCAGAGAACAAAACCAAAAGAGAAAAACGAACAACGAAACTGCGCAATTCAACTTGATTCACAGGAGGCGACTGATGTCGTCTGCGTGCCACGGGGAGGTCTCATGCAGTGCCACGTTTCTCCCTCAACCGGGACGCAATGGCCTCTAGGAAGTCCATAGTGGTGAGAAAGTGCTCTGGCTTGACATCCTTCAACCCATGGATACAAATGGCCAAGTCTTTGGTCATTTTTCCGCTTTCCACTGTCTCAATGCAGGCCTTCTCCAAATCGTCGCAAAACCTAAGCGCGACAAACGAAATCGATTGGTTATCCACGAAAAGTACTTTTTTTAGAAAGCGACTGAAATTACGGAGAATGATGTTTAGGGCAGGCTACGGCTTGTCTGACAACGTTCGATCAGTGGGAAAGGAGGCCAATCTAATGAAGCTAATGAAAATGAACATCCCAAAACCCCTCAGGAGAACTGTCAAGAGCAAAGCTGCTAAATTTTGTATATATACTACTGATGAAACATGTGAGTAGCTTCTGGTCAAGTGTCCAAGCGCCGTTCGTTCATCTGATGGAAGGTTGAAATGCAAATGGTTGTAACACTTGGCACTGCTTGTTCATTACTGTTTAGTATTCACACAACGGGTATACAGTGACTTGCTACCTGAATACACCTTGAAAAACTAAAAGGAGATTAGAACAGAGACATTGAACGTATCTCCGATGCCTGCAGTGCGGTTCGGCATGCGCTTCATACCTGCAAAGTGTAAAGTGCTATTGCAAGACTGGGTGGCCTCGAATCCTAGCCTCATGCTTGGCAGCGAAGTATGAAAGCCATTACCAGCAAACTTAGCTGCGCTGGTCACTGACGCCTTCCTGGATGGGGACCCCGAGACGGGCCACATCAATGGCTAGAGACATTGTCACACATGGCCCAGTCGCGCCCTCAATGGCGCCCATGCATCAAAGCTATTACCTTCAATGCATGGCTCCCTTTCCAATCCCCCCGGCTGACAGTCCATTGGCGTCCATTGGCAGTGCTGTATTTACGCACCAATTTATCAGCTCCCCCTACCTACCCCCCCCAAATCATCGGTGAACGAAACTGCGGCAGCTACAACCACGGTACGACGAGTACGTGGTTCATACAGCTGACAGTGATGATGATGATGCAGTACGGTCAATATAGCTCAGTTATGAAGGCTCAAACTCGCTGATCGGAACGTCCGTGGTTCAAAGCCAACTGTAGCCACTGCTTAAGCTTGGGTAGCCTGGAGATACTTGAGCCCTCATGCTTCCTTCAGGGGCACGGTAGCTAGGCACCGAAGACATGTTACAGCTGTATGACTATTGTCATCAGTATTAGTAGTGCCTGAAACGCGGTTTTCGCCCACCCAAACTAACAGAAACTGTTGAGTTTGGTGGCAGTGCTATGAATACCGACTTTTGCTAATCGATTCTTGGCTCGCAAGAAAGATGGCCGCTGCCTAAACGGCCCTTGAGCGCTGCATCTGGAACCATCGCTGAAAGGCAACCAAAATAAGACAAAACCTGACCAGTCGAAGAATGAAGATAAGCCTTAAATTTCCACCACCCTCGGAACCTAGTCACTTGGCCTGACAAAGCTTTTGTTTAAAAAAGCGAAACGTTGTCCAGCAATAAATCTACCGATTGTCACCAAACTTTTTCGAAAAAAGCTTACTTGATCAATTCCTGATTGTTATCCAGTTTGCCCCGATGTGCCAGACCACGAGTCCAGGCGAAAATGCTAGCAATCGGGTTGGTGCTAGTCGGTTTGCCCTTCTGATGTTCCCGGTAGTGTCTGGTTACAGTGCCATGCGCAGCTTCTGCCTCGATAGTTTTGCCGTCCGGACACATGAGCACAGAAGTCATTAGGCCAAGAGAACCGTAACCTGCGATCAGGAAAGCAAGAGGATGGAATCCGGATAACCATTCCATCTTTATTTGTTGCTCAGATCCCTCCACAAAGACGAGGTCATTTCGGTGACATGAGATTTACTACGAAGCAAAGTGGGATAAGGCATCCAACCAGAGATATTCTTCTCGCCAGGGGTCACTTTTCAACTGATAGCTGTACGGAGGCCAGCCGTCCCTAATAACCGAACACTACATCATTTGGACGGATGTGTCACGTGCAGGACACGGGCCAAACGAAGGCATGTCATGATTGGTCAGAATGCCAGCCAATCCGAGTGAAGCACCTTTGGCTCGACGCTTCTCGCCCCCTCACGGACATTCTGGCACGACCTTGTGGAACACTCTGTGACTACCCTATAAATACAGTTGTAATAAATTTCTTTTCTCTCCATAAATGGCTGTGTAGGGCACCGTGCCTTACTACCCTATAAATACAGTTGTAATAAATTTCTTTTCTCTCCATAAATGGCTGTGTAGGGCTACCGTGCCTTTTGATATATCATAGTGGGCGGAGCAGGAAGCCAAGGGACCGATACAGAGTTGGACGATCGTCCATCAAGACACAACAACTGGCGACGGGTATGGGACACAACAATAGTAATTCGCAGTTTGAGGGGTACGTTGGAGCTTGATCAAACTCGCATAAGCCTTGATGCACTCCATTATCGACCCGGACTCCTCCTGTTGGATCAATGCTTGCAAAGTCCAGTCCAGGTGTACGGTTAGATCGGTCACTTATTTGAACGGGGTTTGACTAATCCTTGGCTACGAGTAGAATTCAGGAGCCCGAGATGGCGCGGTGGCCAACAGGCGAAATTACTCGCAGCAACGTTCGTGGTTCGAACCCCGGCATCTTGACTTCGCCTCCCTAGGCCTAAGAAATCTTACCGTGTTCCCGCCCTCGTGCTTCCTTTGGGTGGTCATCTGGCGACAAAGTACCGGAAAGGTGTAGCAGCTGAACAATTGTTGTGCTTCAAGTAGCACCTTTCACCATGACTTTGTGACCTTTTCTAAGATTTGACTGCAAGTGCAACATCCACTGGTAAACCGATCGGTTTGGTGGATGAGTGATTTGAACAGAAATAAGGTGAACGTGCCCACTACTGGTCAAGAACCATCTACAGAGGCCCCCAGGATCGACGGGGACATCGATCCTTCGTTAAGGAGGATATCCGGAAAATGGACCGTACTCCCCAACTTAAAAGGAACGGTCGGTAAAGATCAACGTTGCTACAATTTTTGACGGGTTTTGGTTACCGCAGCTGGCAAACGGGCTATTGTGCTATGCGACGCCTGCAACCACGCTCTTTTCGCCGAGTCCCGCTAATCGGTGGGACACCTTTTGCAAACAAGTCGCGAAAGGTTGCATTGAAAACGCAGAATGTTCGACTGTAAAAGGTGAAAGCCGCGGTGGTAGACCAGTTAAAAATCATACGTTGGACTGGCCTAAGTCACCTGACCAGCCAAGTCAGTGCATTCTGAAGGTCGGATGGGATGGAGAAACATACTACAACAGGTGTGTAGATCGCTTAGGTGTTCCAAATCGCCTGACAACCAGCTCGCCTGGCGACCCAAGCCATCGTCACCAGAAGCACTCACATCAGTGCTGACACTGATGTTTCACTATCGTACGATCAAAAAGTTCATCTAATTATATTTAAACCCGTAAGATGAAAAGATGAAAGGGTAAATGAGGGAGGGAACTGGTACTGGTCTATAGGTACCCACACACCCCACCCATAGTTCGTGTGGGTTGGTGTCGGCGAATCCATAACGAGGCAATTAGAAAGCGAGTTTTCGGTTGTGCAACGGGTACTTCCATTGAAGAATGTGTCCAGCACCAAAAGCTGCGTTGGTTGGGACATGTTCTGCGTATGCCTAACCATTGGTTGCCGAACAAGGTGCTACTTTCCATGCCCAACTCAGGGAGGCGGCCAACCTTTGACTTGGCAGAGGAGTGTGAAGGATATCACTAAACGCTTGGGTGCTGTCGATGCTACTCGCCTTCCAGGATTGGGACCGCGTGATCCTCACTGTGCCTGGTTGGAGACACTACAAGATATGGCTGCCAGCCGATGTGAGTGGTGTTCTTGTTGTCAGTTTCTATCCAGATTGCCTGAGTGAGTGACTGGAGATACGGGTACCTCGGAATGATTCTGGTAAGCTAGCACTAAGTCCCTTCCCCACACATCTTCATTCTTTTCTTTACAATAAGACTTTCAAATGAACGGCAGTGAAGCATCGGTGTTGAATACTGATGTCATACTGCCAATGATGATGATGATCATGATGATGACAACACCAACGCTCTTCTAGATCTCCTTGACACCTTTCTGCCAATTAACACGTTTGCAAGGGGCAATCCTCGTCTCGGTAGACGTTTCTGCATGCGTAGCACGTGGCCAAACCACCCCTGTTGATGGTCATCCGCGACTAAAGTGCCTACTGATGAATTCGAACCAAGTTTACAAAAGTACCTCGACCGATATTAGAACTGAACAACAGGACATGAACACAATTCGGCACAAAAGTAGACACTGCTGGTAAGACTAAGCGAATATCAACAATGCGGAATCGGGGGTCGGTGGGGGGAGGGGGACTCACCCTGTGCAACAATATCGCTTTGTACGTCTCCATCGTAGTTCTTGCAAGCCCATACGAACCCGCCGGATGATTTGAGTGCTTGGGCAACCATGTCATCGATCAGTCGATGCTCGTACCAGATATTGGCTGCTTCGAAAGCTGTTTTGTAGTCCCTGTTCGTGGAGGAAGAGGGCAATCATCACATACAGAGCAGTTGTAGGTACCATCGGTGGTAGAAAAAACCAAGCAGGCGATGTACTACCCTACATGACGACCAAGAAGCTGTGTATCAAATTGGAAGACGCTCATCATCATCATCATCATCATCATCATCATCATCATCGACAGCATGACATCAGTGTTCAACACAGATACTTCACTGCCGTACAACCATGATTTATTTGAAAGTTTCATTATAAAGAAAAGAGTAAAGGTGGACGGGGAAGGGACTTAGTGCTAGCTTACCACAATCATTCCGAGGTACCTATATCTCCAGACACTCATTCAGGCGATCTGGATAGAGACTGACAACAAGAATGCCACTGACATCGGTTGGCAGTCGTTTCTTGTAGTGTCTTCGGTGAGGCACAGTCAGGGTCATACGGAATTACCCGTTGCACAACCGAAAACGCGCTTTCCAACTGCCTCATTACGGATTCCCCGACACTAACCCACATGAGCTAGGGTTCTGAGAAAACGATTGTCGAACATTTGAAGACGTCTCAGGTCCGCTTCTCGAATAGGCCAAGTCTCACAGGCATACAACAAAACAGCCCGTAATGTAGCTTGATACACACGTCCCTTCAGATTCAGGGATACACACTGGAAGTTGTCTTCCATAGCAGCTCCAGTCGGGGACTGCACGCCTACCTGATGAGTCCCAAGAAAGGCAAAACCGGTCGTGGGCTGTCGGAGAGTTTTCAGCAACCTTGCGAGTGGTTTCCTTTATGAAAATAACTTCGATATTCGCGAATATCGTGCCAACTGAATCATGAGGCGTCCTGTGTGCAGCACATTCAGGTGTAGAATATCATAAACGAGAGATTCAATTGAGTCTCTCGTTCCTTTGGTTCACATGGAAGACACAAAGAAAAAGGACACCAAACGAAAGCATCAACGTGTGTTCCACAACGAGCAAGTACCTATTTCATGCTACACTTGGGCAAGTGGACATGTCTGCAACAGTTGAACATCGCGGTTGGGTGAGACACCAGCTGATCAACGAGCTGGCTCATAATCAGCGCTGAATGTTTGTGCGTGAGATTGCTCCAAACCTAACACGCTTGAATCAGCGTTGGAGCTGCAGTTCTCCGAAGCCAGCGTGAGACTTATGTCGAAAAAGCGTGAATAACCAAATTGAATACGGCATGACAGTGTTGCTAATCCAAACCCAGAGCAGCCGACTGTAAACAAGAAGAGATACCTGACTGTTTTTTTGTCTTGTGGATGCCGCATTAAGCGAGTAAAGACAAGATGACCGGTCAGTGTCACGTGCAACAAAACGGAAGGACCACACTCTAAACGACGCCGAAATTCACTTAAGTTTCCCGCGACCCAATGAGTCATAATTCTTGCTAACGTAAACAGTATGAAACGAAATATCTTAGCCTATCCGACCTGTTAGTACAAAGTGGTGTTCTTCTACCTTCAAAGTCAACCCGTTGGCTTCTGTGTCAAAAAGGGAACGAATAAACAGGTACAAATACTTAAGAATTAGTATAAAGTTACCAAACGAGGATCGGGTGGCATATCCATAAACGAAAAGAGAGTTCGATCCAAACCGGTTCGTTCCCCCTCCCCCTCGAAGAAAAGGCTTCAGCCGAACCACAAGTGGGACTACGGAGCATAAAAGTACGTCAGTGTTCTTTGATGAGAGCTTCGGAAGACACCCTCGTAGTTCAGAATGCTTTAAACGAATTTTTCCTGGTTAGTTGAAGCCAGTGACCGAGTACACGTCAACTTGTAATCCCAGTGGACAGATGCCGTGCAACCCGAAGCAAGCACCGTTCCGTTCAGTGCGTAACTGTCATGCCACCCGAAGGAAGCACGACAGCTAGGATACTGACAGCTTGTCCAAGCCCAGACAGGGGAAGTCGAGGCGCACCGAGGTACTGCGATGTCCGGACGGGAGCAGTCGAGATGCAGGGGTCGGGTTCGAACCACAGTCAGTAAGTTTACCCCTTAAGACCGCTGATACATCGCGAGTTCATCTATCAACTTCAAGCAATCCGGACGTTTTAACTACGGTAACACCTCACATGAGATCAAGTGAACAAAAGCTGCGGTGTGCAGCTGTAAGCTACAGAAATGAGGAAATTGAAGAAAACAGGGAAAATAATGCTTTGACAATACGACTCACTTCACATAGATTTCCTCGAATATATCTTTGAACCGACCGTCGTATCTTTTCAGAATTGTGTTCTTTGTGCTCATATAGAGCGGCCACCTTTTGCTCAGCGCATACTCGAAACAGCTGTAGGCGAAACCGCGAATACTCTGGAATTAAAAACCGTGAAGTTGTCAGTCTTGTTTCCGAAATGTGTTGATTTCAACCAGGAAAAAAATTCGTCCAAAAGCGGTAAACGGGTGTTGAAAATACGACCTTTGTGCGATCACTTTCATGCTCCTGATGGGGGGGGGGGGTACAACGCGGAGGAAGAGGGGGTTTACTGGTGCACCTTTGATGCAAGTTACGTTACACAGATCATCGCCCGTATGAAGATGATCTAGCTTCTGAGATGCCTCTTACAAGATGTATCATGAAGTTTCATGACAAAAGTCGGCCGAATGACGAGTCCAGAGCTACACCGAGTTTTGTCCAAAAAAGCAAACGTGGTCGACAGCAACATTGGGTATGAGAGGCAATAGAATAGGGAATCCGTTGAAGAGATCTGTTGTCTTGGCCTATTTGGTCAGTACAGTCTTTGTGGAACTCACGAACGATGCCCACACTTAGTTCAGCTGTAACACCCTTTTGGTGTCTCGTTGTCATACCATCCGAAGGAAGCACGAGGCTTGAGACAGTCAGGTTGCCCAAGCGTAAACACGGGCCGCCGAGATGCACAGGCTGGGTTCGAACTACGGAACTTCCGGTCAGTAAGTCCGCACCCTAGCCACTGAGCCATCTCGAGTTCAGGATCTCCCTAAAGTATAAAGGCGTGCTGTACAAATGCACCAGTTCTTAGGGACTGGTGCCCCGCAGTCTCTATCTTGTGAATCAATTCAGTTCAGCTTACTAGCTCACAAACCACGCACCGAAGTGCAGTGGTCCCAACCGCTATACTGAGGATAAGGAGAATGAAAGCCATGCGTTTGAGGCGACTGCCTCGTCTGTGAGTGGATGACAAACGAATCCGGGGCTATAGCTTTGCTGCCATTGGCTGAGAACGTGACGCAGCCATTTCTGTTAGGGTCACCAACCATACGTTTGTGTCAACCCGCGAGCCCAATCCGGGAAGACGGCGGTTACGAATGTGAGTGAGCTGACTGGTAAGAGACCCCAAGCTTCGTTACCCGGTCGTGAACCGAGATTGCCTCTGGGTCTGGTACAAGGCTTGGAGAAGAGGGGTCTCATCTCGAACGACATCCAACCCCTCCTCGCCACACAGGCGACGTGCAGTAAAATAAAACCGGTGTTGAACACTGCTTGTCGATTCACGCTGAATTGCGGCGGTCGCCCGGTAGTCAGCTAGTTTGGAATGGAAAAAAACAGAGCACGCCATGATGACCAATTCAGCCTTGGCTAAACTTGCAAGTCTAGACAGGAACTCGGCTAGAGCGAAAAGCACACGAGATGTCGGACGGTCCAAAATTGTCAAACTATCTATTGTCAACCGGATGTGCAGAAGAGGACCGAAGGCCGCTAAGGAGCAAGATCGTCCAGTATGTTTCAAGCGCTACCGGACTGCCAAGTCTCGACAGGTGGGTTAATCGATCGACACAACCAAACTGTGGTTACTGGGTCTACCAGTCAAACGTGAACATGTTCACCTGTTCAGACGTAAGAATTCAAATGCGTCCAGCGTGCACTAGTGGAGTAGTGATAACACGCTCCACTCGCATGTCAGATGTGCGGAGGTCGAACCCCGGGGTATGGACATGTACTGCTGATGAGCTCTAATAAGGACGCAACTCGAATCCAGTACTCGCTCCCTGTGGCGTGGACTCATGGGAATCATTGCGCCAGGACAGGAGAACGACTGTTCAAACACGAAGGAGGAAATCGTTCAGCTGTAACACCCTTTCGGTGCCTAGCTGCCACACGAAGGAAGCACGAGGGCTGGAATACTGTCAGGTTGCCCAAGCCCAGACAGGGGAAGTCGAGAGACAGAAGTCGGGTTCGAACCACGGACCTTCCGGTTAGTAAATTCGGGGGGAGGGAGGGAGAGACAATAAACGGAGAAACGAAGGACTGAGAATGTGACCTAAGAAGTACGGAAGCCAGGTGAGAAAAGTGCGCTTGAAGATGGCGTGTGCACAATAAAAGCCAAACGAGGGACCATGAATTTTAGCTCCGAACTGATTAACGCTTCGACGAAGCAACAAGCTAGTGAAACTCCCCCCCCCCTAATTAACAGTTTCGATATTGACAACCGGCTGAGGTCAATCAACAGTTCAGTCATGTGCAGAACACCCGAACCGGGGTCCTTAAGGTCGGTAGACCCGCGCTTTAGCCCCTGAGCCATCTCGCCCACTCTCTGCAGTTCCCCGCTGCCTTTTACACGAATGCTAGAAGCGCACCTTCGAGAAAAAGCCAGGTGGGTGCAACCCGTATCTTACAAGCACGCACAGTTACCGTGGCACTGTGTATTCTTACCAAGTTCCGAACGGGCCGGACACAACGAACTCGGTCAACGATCAGGTGGGCAAGCTTTGTGCGCTAAGCGTCAGGTCAAACCAAACAACACGGAACAAACGGAAAACAGAAAGAGGGGCAGTTCCCCCCCCCAAACACATCAACATGTCAAACGCGGAGTTCACACTTTGGAACCATGCTGGAATAGTTGGATAGAAAAATCCCAGGGTGAGTGAACCGCTGGCCAACATTAGTCGTATACAACGGAGACAAGGCTTGACGAACATACGGTTTGTGGGGGGTTAGGAGATTCAATTGGATTGGTAGCTAAGATGCCAGCCAGTAGTTGGGCCAAGGTCATCAGAAGAATGACCCTAGGACGCACACACACAGAATTAATAGTGGTCCCGAGAAATACATTCATTTGCAAATCAATTTGGTTTATCACGAGAGACTCAAATGAATCTCTCGTTTGTGATATTCTACAACTGAATGTGCTGCACAAAGGCCGCCTCATGATTCAGATTCGATTCGAGATACCGCAGTATATTTTCATAAAGGAAACAAGGTTGTTGTCGAAGAGCTTTCAGCAACCTTGTGAGTAGTCTCCTTTATGATAATAGTGGTCCCTGTGTGAGTGGGCGGGACTAGCGAATGGGTTTGACCAAAGGGGATTGGAGCATGTGGACAGAGTACATTAGACAGCCCGGGATGGGGTGACAGCGAGCAAAGCCTGCAACAGAGTAGCGCTTTGGTTCGGTTTGACTGCGCCCCGTGTAGGACCGAGAAAGGTTCAACGTTTGTGCTGTACGTCGTTCATTGTGTCCTGCTGCCGCTAAACAAGGCACACTGGCTGGATTCTCTGGCCCAGTTATGGAGTTGGACGTTCGAACAGACTGCAGTGCGGCTGTATGAGAAAAAACTCAGTGAGGTACTTGTGAGGTTGCTGAAAGCTCGACAAATGCGCTCAGTTGCAAGTCAATTTGGTTTTCACGTAGGGTTCAACTGAATCTCTCGTCTGTGATATGAACATAAGGTTAACGGAAACTCGGGGACTGCGCCTACCTGATGAGTCCCAAGAAGGGCGAAACCGGTCGTGGGCTGTCGAAGAGTTTTCAGCAACCTTGTGAGTAGTATTCTTTATGAAAATATACTGCGATTTCTCGAATATCGTGCCAACTGAATCATGAGGCGGCCTGTGTGCAGCACACTCAGTTGAAGAATATCATAAACGGGAGATTCACTTGAATCTCTCGTGAAAACCAAATTGATAGGCAAATGGATGTATTTCTCGAAAACAGCCCAACTTGGGTTCAAGTAGAACATAAGGTTGACGGAAACTCAGGGACTGCGCCTACCTGATGAGCCCCAAGGACGAAACCGGTAATTGGCTGTCGAAGAGTTTCAAACCACCTTGTGAGTACCAAAAATATATTTCCATCATCACCTTGGGCTTGATACACCGAAAAGTTTAAAGCCTTAAGGCGCCAGACAGAAGCCGTATTCGGATTACACTCAGTAGTTTATTATGAATTGACTGGATTTAGTCAAGCTCACGACAAGCGCGAACGAGAAGTCCCTCTCAGCACCACCAAAGTGAAAGTCTCGAAATTGTTCAATGCGCCGAGATCTCGTCAACGGATATGTTGACCGGACGCTATTTGAGCAGTTGGCTGAACGTTGTTCTGGGACGTGCGCTTCAACAAATTCGTCATACAGGCGCCTGAGTAGGAATCTAACCAGTGGCCTTTTCGGACATCTCAAGGGGTTTTGGGGACCATCGAGTATAAAGTGTGTTTAGGGTGTGAAATTTCCGTTCTGTACCACTACTAGTATTAATACTATAAATCTTTAACTGAAGAATATGGGTAGCTCATGAAGGAAACTACTCACAAGATTGCTGAAAACTCTTCGACAGCCTACGACCGGTTGGCTCATGTTACAATGGTCGCACTTGGTTTGTTCACTAAGCTGAGCAATTTGGTTGCGATTCAATTCAATGCGTTGAGTGGAGGTGCATGGTGGTTGAGCATGCCTGGGCTGATGTGGGACCCACTCACGCAGGTCGAAGTTGACCGAACATTGGTCGCTTGGGTGAACGTTCATATTGGCTCATTGGTTGGCCTGCTTTCTGATTGGTGGATGTCCTGGTGACCTTGAGAGCTTCGATGAACCCATAATGAGGTAATCTTAAGAGTGGGACTGCGAGAAAACTCAACCCTATTCGACCTAGAACATTGGCATACTGTGACTTTGTCTATCTGGCGGTAAAAGTTCACCGCCGGTCAACCTCATGTTCAAGATGAGATTTGAAAATGCGCCAATTTAAAAACAGCAAGCTGTGAAGTGAAGCGATTGTGAAGCAGTTGCGAAAAACAGGCGAACCATGAGACCTAAAAATACCAAGAGTATTCGCAGTGTTAGCCCAGCGTTTTTTTCTTGTAAACTTACGAATAAAAGACCTGATAGTAGTATAAAGATGGTGAGATCGACAAGTTATCCACCCAAATATTGATAATGTACTGTCTACAAGAGCTCCGGACACCTAAGAGACACCCAAATGATTGACCCCTGTGCAATGGGCTCGAAATGTTGTATTCCAAAACACGGAATGTCCTCCCTGACCATCGTGCTTCCCTACCAGAATTTCTGAAACTGATAAGTCGAACGCCAAAGTTTGATTGCCGTGTCTTTGGCAAATCTTTTTTCGTTTCCGTGATTATGTCTACAGGATATGCATATCAGATATGCTCGGAATGGATGCACCCACAGGTTCTGACTGTTTGTAAAAGCCGGATGGTGGGATCACTGCTGATTGGCCAATCGGAAGCAGCTCAATAAAGAACAGCGTAAATTGACGTATCATGGAGGCAACAAGAGGAACACTGGTCTACTCAAAACTGAGCTCTAATCGATAGCAATTCGGCCGTACCATTACAAGTTAGAAGTAAATATAAGATTTGGCCAGCACGAACTTACCTCGTCCGTATTATACATCGCCATACTGACGCCTCCGTCAGGAAATTGGAACACAGTGTGTCGTTCGGGCGGTTTAGCTGTGTCCTTTGGCGTAAAAACTAACTCAATCGTTCCAGGTTCTTTGACAACGATGTCGGTGGCTTTGTACTGGAATGGAATAAGTATGGTATATGCAGAAAAAATGTTGTCAAGTTATCAGAAGAAAGCATGAGGGGTGAGATACTGTCAGCTTGCCCAAGCCTAGACTAGAGCACTCGGGAAGTCGGTGATGGGTTCGAATCACCAAAGTTCCGGTCACTGACCCCACCTCCAATATAAGCTTTGATAGTAGGACAAGCGACGGGCGAATGTTGGGGATCTAAACTAAACCTAAGACGGGATCTGTACACAGATTCATTCACCGCGACTATTGTTCGCTGTATCTCTTCGGTCAACAGCTGTTAACTAATACTGGACAACCACTATAGCTAACGTGCTCGAAGGCCGTAACTTCGAACTGATGTTACACTCAGTTGAACCCGCACTGAAAGCTTACTGTAGTCGCACAGTTGTACTGGCCACCCCTTTGGTTCCCGTGGGGGGAGATGGTCCAAGTGGTTAGAGCGCGAATTTACTGACCGGAAGGTCCGTGGTTCGAACCCGACCTCTGCCCCATCTCGACTTCCCCTGTCTAGGCTTGGAAGCCTTATTGTAAAGAAGAGAGTGAAGGTGGACAGGGAAGGAACTTGGTGCTAGCTTACCAGAATCATTTCTAGACAGAGAAAGTCGAGAGTCAGAGGTCGGACTCTCGACTTCCCCTGTCTAGGCTTGGGCAACCGGGCAGCATCCCAGCCCTCGTGCAACCTTCGGGCATCTAAACACCGAAAAGGTGCTACAGCTGAACGATTCGAACAATTAAACCAACAGCATCATCATGCGATCGATGGCCAGCTTGCATAGCTTAGGGCAAACCGTAGAATTCGCGACATACACAATAACCAAAGGCCAATTCGACCGAATCAAAGAAACCGTAGTCAAGATGACACCCGAGTTAGGCCGGTTTGGAAGACTAAACTGTCATGTTCTGGATTGCTAGGTATCAACCTGATTTTGGTCTTCAGCATCGACAAAAGTGGACATGAAGACAACATACCTCCATCGAGAGACCACCCCCAACTACTCATTGTTATCGTCCTCGACAGAGGTAAAAGCGTTCGGCTGTAGCACCCTTTCGGTGCCTAGCTGCCATGCCACCCGAAGGTTGCACGAGGGCTGGGATACTACCAGGTTGCTCAAGCCTAGACAGGGGAAATCGAGAGGACGTTCAGCTTTAGCACCCTTTCGGTGCCTAGCTGCCATGCTACCCGAAGGAAGCACGAGGGCTGGGATACTGCCAGGTTGTCCAAGCCTAGACAGGGGAAGTCGAGAAGCAGCAGGGGTCGGGTTCGAACCACTGACCTTCCAGTCAGTAAATTCGCGCTCTAATCACTGAGCCATCTTGCCCCTTCTTATCATGGATAACGTCGCAGTAGTCTAATCTTATTTTGTCCAGCGTCTTTTGTCGAAAAAAAGGAAAATCGAATCCTGCTTTGCGGAGTAAGCTTCTCCGTCGACAAGTTCCCAAGTACGCTTGGTGTGTTGGTGAAATGCGGTCACTTTGGTGAGATTGAGCACATCATGATAGCAAACAGACTGCATTCACGAAGTAGTGAGTTCATCATCACCAAAAACAGTTGTTATATGGCAAAACGAAGCAGAGCAGGAAGAGCAAAGAGACAACGGGAAAACGGCTCGGTGATACGAAAAGAGTCATGAATTTAATCGCAGAACACCTCCAACGATGCCACACACTGAGTGGGTATAGCTGAATACAGGTTACGTCACAGCAAACCGCTCATGCCACAAGCTGAGTAGTACTAGGTTGTGTTCTGCATCCAAAACTGCTCAAGGCCTCGATGAATCAAATGACAGAAAAAGAGGTCGGACTAGAGGACAGTTCACGTCTCCTGAGCTCCTGAGCTATCTCGAGACCGGCTAAAGCTGTTAACAAGATGCCAGGAGACGTCACGACCGTGCCTGTTCGTCGAATGGCCGACTATGGACTATAGACTACTGACAGCGTGTCCAAAAAGGAAAGAAGAGAGGGCTCTTCCCAGGACGGGACTAAACAGACTATCATGCAAGGTTGAGTCAGCCGTTTTGACTTTGTCGTATGTCATTGCCTTGGGTACCTGGTTTATCCACCCCGAATTCCCAATTTTTAGCTGGTCTACCACCTGCAGCTCCCACTTGACGGAATTCTGTTTGTCAGGTGTTGGGCATCATTCCGTGCGCTACTTAACCGAAGCATGCGATTCTCTTCGGAGATGCGGTAACACAGAGATGTCGACACACCTATTTTACCGAACAGAAATCAGATCAGAACTCACATCTGAAAACTACTACAGCATCGTCGGAAGTCATCATCATCATCATTATCAGCTGTAATAACCGCGTACTGGTCGTACACTGGTTGTAGCTGCCACAGTTTCGTTCACCGATGATTGGGGG